TCCAGTTTGAAAGTAGAAGAACGGCGGACATTGAAAGAAGACGCCAGTACGAGCAACGAAGCCAATTGGTGAGCCAAGACCACAGCAAAGGCAAGATCACGGCTACGGAAGCAAGTCGAATCAGTGGTTAAGGAAACCTGAGTATCCAAAAACAACCGGCGAACGTCGACGACAGTTCAATAATAAGCCAGAAAAAAAGTCTGAAGGCCAGCGGAAAAAAGAAGGAAGGCATGGAAAAGAAGAAAGAAAATTTAAACTGAAACATGATTTTCTGCTGACGGGGAGGGTGCGGAAGTCCGAAGGCGAAGAAAATCCTTCTTCCTTCAAGCTCAATATAGTGATTGTAAAAAACTTGTTTCTTCCTAAATTTGACTCTTCCAAGTATTGAAGTTTTCGTGAACAATATTCCCAGCCACCGCACTCCTGGACACAGGCGCGCAGTGTTCCTATGTGGCAGAAGATTTTTTAGGAAATACTTTCCGTAAATATACCAATATATAATTCGCATAATACGACAGTGTTAGCTGCGCAGGGAGAAAGATGCAAATGCATAGGTAAAATACCATTATATATACGCATCAAGGACGAGCAAGTAAAGATTATGTTTTTTATCGTAAAAAATTTACAAGCACATGTCGTTTTAGGGATAGATTTTCATTCAGAGGCAGAAGCAACGCTGTAAAAAACCAAGCGTCCCTTAAGCTGACCATGCAACCAGTTCGGGAAGAAAAAAGAGAACCACCCACATTAAACCTCGACCACCTGCCTAAGGGAGAGCAACAAAAAATTCGACAAGTGGTAAGTGAATTTGCTTCGTTATTTAGTGATATTCCCGTAAGCTCCCTGTTCCGAGTCAGGACAGTTCATGTTTCCAAGGCAAGTAAAGAGGAATACAAGTCCTGATAAGATGTTTAGAAAAGTTAAATCGCAGATGGCGAGAACTTAATTGTAAATAGCTTGTAATCATAAATTTTTATGTTCGCAATTTCGCGAGAAGCTACTAGAAGTAAGAATTTTTGTTAAGAACTCGCAAGTTGCGAGAGTTAAATATTGAATATATTTAGTCGAAAGACTCTTTGAATACTGAAATCTGTTAACTTAAAGTTAAGATTTCGTGTAAAGATGATAAATTGTAGCTAAGCAACTATGACTGTTGATGTAAAGTGAATTTAAAAGTGATGGGTAAATATCTAAATGTTTTTGTTAAAATAGAAATGTTTTAATCTCTATGTTGAAATTTCCTAAAGCTAAACTTGTACAAAAAATAATTTTTGGCCTCTTTTTTTATCCTGCTCACGGAGGAAAGATTGCTAAATTCCATGATATTTGTGAAGGGATACCTCTAAAGTATCCACGCTGTTCAGCTTGAAGTAATTCCTCTCGGTTGTAAAATGTTTTTAATTTCTTTAAACCAGGAAAACTTTATTAAACCAGTTTTTGTTTTCCTTGTAATACTCAGTGTATACATTTATAAGATAAAAAATTTAAATAAAGGACATATAAATGCAAATTCTGAAACAAAAGGCAGAAATAATTTTAAAATAAAATTTATAAAAATTTAAATCTATTTTAAAGAACTTAAAGGGTAACTCTTTAGTAAATTTTGAAGCTACATAATTTTGTAAAAACTAATTCTTTTTATTCTGTAGCAAATCAGTATTTGGAAAAACTTTAAAAATTATTCCAGCACATAGAAAATATATTTGAAAATTTATTAGGCAAGTTAATATATTTACAAAAAAAATTGCTTATTTATACTTTTATCTTTAAACATGTAGATACATTAAGTTTATTTCGTTGTATGAAAAATGAGAAAATAATGCCCTCCTAGAAGAAATGCTTTCCCGTGATTCGAACTCCGAATCTCCCGACTGCTAGCCGGACGTGATCCCAATTACTCCACGAAGGCATGCGTGAAGAAAATAGAAACTTACAAACTCAAAATACAAATTAGCAAGTTAAAAAGTTAACAAAATTTATAATACAAAGAAACAAAATAGCACAAAATAACTAAGATTACCAGTCATCAAAGAGTACAAACTTTATAGCAACTTACAAGAAGGTACATTAAATTGTTTGTAAGCATAGCTTCAAGTTTTCTAGCCAAAGAAAATATCCATTTGTTCTTATCTAAAGCTCTCATCAACTTCTTTTAGCTAAATATCAAATTTAAATTGGACTTAACTTGTTTCCGTTAGTTCGGCGTTCGACATTAATCCCCTATAATCGTCACTTTTAAAGTGGTCAATGCCTGAGAGTGAATAAAATTAACCGCAGCATCACACGGTACAAAACTTGCAATAATGATGAGTCTCGGGAACTGGAGCCAAATTACACCTTAAAATTTCTTCATTCTTTTTTTTTTTAATCAGACAAAATTTAATACTTCTATAGCAGTTAGACATTTTGAAAGAGTGAAAGTCTTAGAAAATTGTGAAGTTAAAACTTAGCAACAGTTATAAAAGCTTTACAAATTATTCGAATGAGAAAATTTTAATATAGAATAAAAATACTAATTGCAATATTAGTCGTTAAAACAGGGCTCCAAGTAAATTTTCACCTTCTGTTAGAACCGTTAAAATAGCCATATCCCCAGCACAGTCGGTGCGGCCGTGCTTGGTATATTGGTTACCGATGCTGACTCTCATATCGTTGTACCTGGATTCGAAAAGACATGGATAATTTGTTTGTCTTTCCCCCTGCCCTCTTAATCGGTGTAGTGATTATCGATGCTAGCTACTGTGACGTGGGGCTAGGTACGAATTCTTCAAAAAGTATAAATGTGTGTAAATGAATATTATCCATGCGGTATGGGGTACTTAAAATTAAAATACTAGAGAGCTGAAAGTTTTCTTGAGTGGTTTAGTGATAGGGTAAAAAGTGTGGATGACCCACGATTCAGTCTCCTGGCATATGCTTCGTCAACGGTAAGACAGAACTGTAGAACTGTGCAATTAGTGGGGGGAGGGCATATATCTGTATGACAATTTGATGAAGTTCTGGTGTTGTACTCATTATTTTTCTTGTCCTGTCTATGCTCCGCTCTTGCGGGTGTAATATAGGTTTACCTCTATAACGGACCCTAATCAGCGTTCTCGGTGATGAGTTGGCTAAAAACCAATATGTTCGGACATTCCGGACAAGGAAATGTCTCATTATTAAAAAACAATCTCTTGTCTCGACATAATGACTGTTCACAAAATTGTGAACGGAGGAAACTCAGCTACTCACTACTTCTCAGCTACTTCAGTATACGTGTTTTTTCGTTTGAATCTTCATTTCTCGTTTGAATCTTCATTTCTTCATTATCGAATAATGTTTTACATCATAATTAAATTATTTTACAGAAAAAGGCAGTAAAAACATCAAATCAATCAGTGAAATACTTTCGCGTGTATACGTTTACGAAGATTTCATTAGATGATATTCTTTTAAGACGAAATTGTAATAAAATAATAATAAATCAAATTTCCATGTAATTGGTAACATCATGTTTTGATATATAATTCATAAACATAAAAATTGTATTAATATAAGAAGTATTTAACTATTTTTAGAGGTGTTAGAAAGGGAGAGGTATTCTACCTTCAAAAGTAGTGGTATAAATATTCAGCGTGAACAAAAAATCTAGAACTTATTTGATGCCAAACAGTATCCATATTATATTACATATTCAGCAATAGAAAAGTATTGAATGCAGCTAATTTGTTAAGTAAAAGAATATTTTAACTTTCTTTAAACGATGGCAATCGGTGTTAGTTAAAATAAAATTCCATCATCATTACTTTTTATATCTACAACATATCATTTATGTAAAAATCGCCTCCAAAGTGTATTAAAAGTTTGACCAGTTTAGTGTAATTTACAGGCAATGATTGCATAATTTAAATTTTAGATTATTCCTTTAATATTTAGACTAAAAGAAAAAAGGCGTTGAAATGTTCCCATGAAAACTAACATTAATGTAAACACTCGAATTCATACCGTAACTTATATTATTGAATTTAATATTATGATATAATTAAATAAACATTTCCAAATTGAATTATAAATTTATGTTCTTTTTTACAGCTCGGTTGTAGAGACATTAGGTATTTTTGGAGGCAGGCAAGATGAAAAATATGCAACGCCTTCGCCGGGAATCAAACCGCGGACCTCTCAATTACGCTCTGAGCGTGCAGACCACTACACCACGAAGGCTCGTTAAGAAGTCGGGAGGAATACCTTATACGGTTTATTTTGCTTTAAAATGTTATGTGCATTGACTACAAGCACTGACGATACACGATGTATAATTTATTGTAAAATCCAGGCAGTTTTGAATAAAGGTCCCATACAGAGTTATAAAATAATTCAATCATAAGTTGAGATTATACAAAACATATGATATCGAAGAACAAACACTGTATGAAATAATAATTTTGTTTTCAAATTACGTTAATATTGAATAAGATATTCCTAGTGTAATATGTAATACCACGTTTTTATTTGAAAAGTTATTATGAAAACTGACCTTTTAAGAAAATTATTTAGCTCCAACATATGAAGACTTTTATGTAAAATTACACTTTTTATAAAATGGCAGAAGAATTACGTAGAAAATGGATAAAAGCCAGGTTCTCATCAGCGCAAAGTTACTTAATATGATTGCATCTGCTATCCATACTTGCTCTTAAAGAGCCAAAGGTAATATTAAAATACTCATTTTTCTTTTTGAATAAAAGGAAAACAAATGTGTGTTTTCAGACGAAAGTAATATACTCTATTTCTATATTTTACCAAAAATGTTGGAAATTGCATATAAAGTATCTAAAATAAATACTTGTGTTATCTTTGGTTTCTTCTTTCTTTTCTCAAGAATACCATATTCTATCTTTAAAATATTTGACTAGAATTTTATATCTACTTAATGGGTAAGAAAACGTAATTACTCAAATCTTTACATAGTCATATATGTATTATTTAAAAATATTTATTAGAAAACTACATAAACTACTTACCAACTAGAAGTTTTTGAAACCAAAGAATTTTTTTTTCTTTCTGATGTTTGAGTTTAGTGAAAAATTGCATTGAAATAGGTGTAATATATGGAGCAGTGTTCTTCACAAAAATTTGAATTCGAAGAAAATATAACTCCGTACCATATTTAAAATAAGTGCTCTTCTCATTGCTTTCCCTAAGCAGAATGTGCTCACCCACGCTTTATTTCTTTTCGGAGAAACAGAAGGGTTGCAGTGGCGCACCAAATTTGGCTCGCTATCGCCTCCCATAAAATATATATCACCCGTGGAATAAATGATATCTGTAGTATCCATTAAAACCTCATTTCAAAAAAATTAATTTCAAGTACATAATTTCTGATTGATGATAAGGTTTGATACGATGCTTAAACTCGCAAATGCGTCACATCTACTATAGCTTGTTTACTTCAATTATTGTTTACTTCAATTTACAATATTATTTAAAATGTTTAACGGACAACGGAATAAAGTTACAGCACTTTTCCTTTTAAATTTCTTTTCCAAGCTTTCAGTCCAAGTTTTTTAAGTAAATTCGAAATCCAAATACTTGTATTATTAGAATTTTATATGTTTCGGATTTTTTGAATCCTAACTCGTTTTTCGTAACCTAATTTTTTCCAATTCATTACTATGCATTTCCTTCTCTTTTTTAAATTCGTGTTGTTGCAATAATGTAAGATCATTTAAATGATTTCCTTATATAAGTTTCGAAGACTCAGTTTTCATTTGTCAGTTGTTAGAGTGTTGGCATATTTTATATCTAACATTATTTTTTAAAATTATCAAATAACTATTGAAAATTTACGAACTATGCTCGCTAAATTAAAAGAAATTCGTGTATATTTTTAATAAAATATTTATACGACAATTAATCCAGAACAGCGGTGAAATCTTATCCGTATACGTGTACAGCAGCCACAGGTTTCAAGTTCAGTTTAATATATGCTTTATAAAACACAAAAATTATATTCGTATTTAAACTTAAAATTAAATTTTTATTTAAGTAAAAAATTGTAAAAATAAAGTCCAAAACTGAAGATCAAAATCAATGAACACAAAATGTGGAAAGCAATAAAAAATATAAAATTTATCTGCTATATTTTTATTATCATAGAAGAATATAAAATGCAATTAAGTTAACCCTAAAATTATATTTTAAGCATTTTAAATAATTTTCATAGAATAACTGTAAAGAAATATTACAAAAAATTCGTTTAATGAGAACTTGTTCTTCTTTTATGAATTTCACGCACTTTAATGTTACACCAGTCTTGCCATATGTGTATGTGAATACATATGTACCTAAGTGTGTATGCATGTATATATGGACATGTACGTTTATTAAAAAAATGACGTATTCTAAAATAAATCCTGGCGTTCATGTCAAAATATATCCATTGATAGAAGGCTTTAATGAATAATAAGCTATCAGTTGCTCTTTTTATAGTTACAAGTTCAACGACTTAAATATTTCTTTTATAGGAAAAAGGTAATCTGAAACTTCTCGCATTAAGTCGTTACGCTAGGGATATTGAACCTGAAAATAGCAAATCGTCTTTCTTCTCTTTTGCTAGTCACAGGTTTGATAAGTAAAACAATATCATTTGTTGGCATAAAATAAAGGTACATTACGTACATTCATTACGGCTTCATCAAAAATTCAAAGTCCATTATTCTGTTTGAAACATAAAAAGAAATCCCTTCTTACAAAATAAAAATATTTTTAGGGCATTTATTCCAGCTTTTATCAATAAGTCCTTTGTTCTGTTCAGAATACTTCTTATGGATTGTGCAATAAATTTTCTGAGCTACTCAGAATTTAAAAACGACTCTTTCGTATTGTAATTCTACTTATTTTGTACTTGTGTAGTTTTGTAATTTTAATATAATGAATATTAAACTTATTTTGCATGAAAACTGTAATAAGAAAAGGAATGAAAATACTTCTTACATTGAAATACTAAATTGTCATCAGTAGTTTAAAATATTAAGTGAAATAGTAATAATACATTTCTTCATATCATGAAATACGAAGGAGAATGCTCAATATTTCTACATTGTGTTGAGAAAGCTATTTCATACTGATATTATAAAAAAATCTTGAAATACATCTGCAATATGTCGTGACAATGAGATAAACGTTTTAAACAATATGTGCTGCGGTACGTATAATACTATAATTTAGTTTCATAATTTTCGTAGAAGGAAAAAAAGAAATTTTTTATTGTTAGAAAATAACTCAAAAAATTAAGAGGCGAAATATAACAATCTAAACATAAAACCAAACGTTCAGTTAATATTTTTCTAAGAAATTCTCAGTTAAGAAAAAAACGCTTTATGGTTGCAGCCCCAGAAGAGAACATTAATTTCTGTAAATTTATTGAATTTAAAAAGAAAACAAACACTAATGCTATAGTTCAAGTTGTTTGATTGCAAAATTTTATCTTTTAATAAAGTGGATACGTTTTTTAAACTAAAGCATCTTTTATCTTATTTTATATGTATATTTCTAAAACTAATTCTAAACTGATTTTAAATGCCTTTCTATATAAATCCAACGTTGTATTTTCTTTAAAAAAGTAATACAGACAGAAAAATGCAATCAGTTACTGTTATAGCTACAAAATATTTGGCAAAGAGAATCTGCCATAGGATTAACACTTGGCGCCTTTTCTATCTTGAAGGTCTCACGTACAAATCTCAAACCTCGTGTTCTATTTTTTCCAGATGCAGCGGTTCCACAGGGTGGAGCACTTAAATTGGATTCGTGCTTTGGCCTTCATGAAATATCTGTGGTGCGTGACAGCGTCAAATCCGCAATCATTCTTACCAAGGCTAATTCTGAGGTAAATATATGTCATAAATCCAGTGCACCTGTGAAGGCCATCGTTATCCAAAAAGTATAAAACTTCAACGATGTCTAGCAGACTTTCTTAATACTTATTTTATAAGAACATCTATTAAAAGAGTATACATGATTCAACAGACCAAAATCGTTATGCTGTTTTCCCTTGATGCATGTAGAAAATATTTTCCAACAGCTTAAACTTTTTATTTTGGTATATAATCAAATTCTGTAAAACTTGTTTAATTTCAATAGAATTAATTGATGCAGAAGAAGTACACCATGTACCCCCCTAAATAAACAATAAAGACAAAGCCAAGAAAATTAAAAGTTAGAGTTCAGCGGTAAGGAAATTTAGCATTAGGTTGATGCCGATTAATGAATGAATAAACTATGCATCTTGAGAGTGATCTCGGGTATGTCTCTCAACATTTGAGAGAGTGCTATTCTAACTGATGAGAGAGCCGATTTAATTTTTGTCTTTAATTGATGGAAAGTTTTATTTCAAATCACCGTCAAACAAGGTTATTTAAGTAAAATATATGTGTATAATATTTGTGGAGTTATTTTTTAATCTTATTTCTACCACATTATTTTTGTAAATGGGTAAGAAATCTGAACCATTCAATTACATGCAAATTATATATGTCTAATATAATTTAGAGCTTTATATGAATTTAATTGTTAAGGGAAAAAACTATTATTTCTCAGGGAAAAACGCCAGTGAATGGCCCATTTGACTTTTATATCATTTATACTAAAGTTATTAAAAATGTTGAAGAACTATTAAGTAATAGTAAGACTATAATAAATGTATATAGGTTTAGTGGTTTAGTGTTTTAATTATTGGATTAATATATATCCGTAATTATTACTTCTTTTGAACGAGATTACAGTGTTTAAATCTGCACATAACAATACTTCTCTCTTAAGTAAAAATGATGCAGCTAAGTAGATATATATATATATATATATATATATATAATATTTAATATCCAGAAATAATGCCAAAAACATACTCTTCAACTGTCATTTGCAGTCATTAACATTAAAAATTGGAACATTATCTAAAACGTTAGCATCAACTAATAAATAAAGGCACTAAAAATACTGAAAAGACGACCAGGAATTCTTTAAAATTAGGTAAAAAAATGAAGTTAAGTAAACCTTTACCAAGCATATTGCTCTTTCGATTTCTTTACAACAATTTTAGCAAAAACCTTGCAAAAGCTACATCAAATACAGTAGTGTTGTTCTTGACAGCAATGTTTTTAATATCAGTCCTATATTTTACCCAACAAAGCTAATTATGTATAAGTCTGATAGCTTGAATGGAAATTTTATATGTCTATACCCAATACCTGAAGACATAGAGATAGCATCCTTAACTTATAAATTGCTGTCTCTGTGTTTTAAATATGAAGCTCTTCTTGGTAAAACTCTATATGCTCTGAATAAGTAAGCTTAAAAGAATAAATATAAAAGAGGATTTTAAGCCTTTCTGGCAGCAAAATCCTTACCACAATTACATAAATATTAAGATGCTGCATTTCACAGAAGTTTACATGCATCACGTATGCAACGAACTCCGAAACGTGAATTTTGCTTTTTAAGCCTTTTAGCTACTGTAAAAGCTGAATCCATAAATTAATATAAAAAAATCTGTATGCCTATATAAACAATATTCTCCTCTATGATATGGATAGATTTCATACAGTTCACCGAAACAGATTTCAAGGCTTTCATACCAAAGTGTAAAAAAAATAATTATTCATTATCTATACTTGTTAGCTGTTCCCCCTTCTATAAAAATGTGGGCAATATAATTAACGATTTGATTCTTTTTAATTAGAAAGAAAATATTTTAAAAATCATGCAAAATCAAGACAGTATACCAAATAATATCTACACTGACAACAAAATTTTTTTAAATTTTATTTAGTATTTTTTATTTCAAATGGAAATATTACGAGAATACTACAAGTTTGTATATTAACATTCACATATGCGCTATTCCACAAATTGCTTCACTCAAAATATCATTAAATTGAATTACCTTGTAAGCAAAAATTTACAGTTTTTAAAACCTTTTTTAAGGTTAATTTTCAATTACAACTGATTTCTTAATTCAGTTAATCTTTTGGGTTTCTTATTTTCATAATTAACCTCACAAAACGTATGTCAGTTTATATTTAAGTTTATATTAATCTGTTTAGACTGAAACATTTTAAATTTTGTTAATACATGCATTACAGTGTTTTGTATTTTGAGATACCAAAGTGAAGAAATTTTATTTGCTACCG